AAAGTGTAGTGAACGTGCATGCGTAAAAAGAGGCGCTCAGTACATGCGGGTGGCATGGAGGGAAATTTTGTAGTCACCATTATGCCCTTCGGAGAATTTTTAGCTACAAAAATTCAGTCAACCCATAAAACTAAAAAGTATGCAGAAGGTTGTTCCTATTGGTTGTTCTATGTTGTTGTCACCATAACAACAAATATGGTGTTATCACCATATTCGGTCCCTTCTTTAAAGCACTCACATCAATGAAATTTCAAAATTAATTGCATATGATTTTTATTTTCGTCTCAAATTTTATGCTATCCAACTCAACTTCATTTCATTGCACCTACATCAATGCAATTCACTTGCAAGTGCATATGAGAATTTTAGTGACTTTATAATAAATAAAAATAAATAAATCAAGTGAGAAAAAATAAATTATTGTTTTATTATTTTCCTATACGGCTTGCATATTGAATTTCATTTAATGCAAGCTTGCATCTTTGCAAGTGGGCACTATATCAGTGCAATTCACTTTGCAATTGCAAATTGAGAAAATATCATTGATGCACATGCTCTTATTGAGACTAAGTATAAAACACTACTTTTGTAGTTAGGGTGACAACACTCTTCAACCAATAGAAAGCTAGGGTTGTGGTGACTTTATATTAGTTATGTTGACCTAGTGTAAAATCAAACCAAGGATATAAATGTAATTATAAATATTATGTTTAAATAATTAATAAAAAATAAATTTATAATTAAATAATTATAAAATATTTTTTATTTGCTGCCCAAAATTTTAGCCGTCGGAATCCGGCCAGCGGTCGCTGGTCACTAGAATATTGACACGCTACGACACAACACCAAATTGCGACCAAGTGTAATCGCAGAATGGAAATGCAGAATAGTGGCAAGTTCTATTTATCAACCCGGGGACTAGATCTACTGCCTATTCCGTGAGTACCTATTATCTAGCAGACTAAGTTTAGTAGAGTGATTGAAATGAAAAGCAGTAAGAAAGCAGGAAATTGTTCGAAGTTCTTTAGCAAGGGAAGAGTCACTAGGGAATGAGTCCCCCTAGCTCCTTAGTTATGCCAAAGTTGTAATTACCTTTGGTTGATTTACTGTTGATTAAACTGTGAAAGATCCGACAGTAGCTTGGAATCTCTTAAGCTGACCAAGCCCTCTCAGACAGACTACCCGACAGACGACTAGCCTTCACCAGGATAGAACGCTGAGGCAATAAACACAGAACTCCACTACTGAAATTGGATTCCAATACAAAGCAGTGAATCGATTAACTCTCGTATAACCAATTCACTACTATCGATTGAGGAAACTCTAACAACCTAATCAGATTCTATCTATCTCAGGTTGCAGCAGAAATCAAGAAAAGTTGATCAGACTTCAATTGACTCAATAAGACATGCCTCAATCGATTATAATCAAGCAGTATATCAATCCAAACGTCATTACAATCAAGATTCCTAACACATGGAACTAGGGTTCTTCACACCCAAGTGAGAGAAAGTTCTACTCCATAGAGAGAGAGGAAAACAGAATACAAAGCAGTCATACTCATAACAATGGGAAGAATCTGCTCTGAGATGTCAACTTCACTCCTCGCGAATCGCGATGCGATCTAGGCTTCAATGGTGAGAAATCCACTCCAAGTAGCTCCTAGGGTTTGTTCTTCACACTTTCTCTCTCTAAAACTCTGTTTTTGCTCCAAAAAGTCGACTCCCCTTCCTTTGGCTCGTATATGCCTTTTTCAACTCGATTCTGAGTGAAATACAGGCATAAATACGGTCATAATTCTTCCCTGCTTGGATTTTGCCCAAAATGCGCGTTTTGGTTAAGTCTCAACGCATCCAAGGCTCCTCTCGGCAGTGAAATTACGGGAATATTGACCGATTTTTGTACCTTAGCCATCACAAGGCTCAGCATAAAAAATACTGGCGGTAATTTGTGAATTACGACCGTGATTTTAGGGAGTCTGCCCGTATTTCATTCTCAGCACCACTTTTGAGAGGCTTTTGATTGACCAAACGACCTCCAATTGACCCGAAACTTGCGCCTATGCCTTCGTTTACTCACTAGGACCTGAAATATGGAAAAATAACACAACCTAGCGTAAAATAGGCCAAGACACCACAAATTGGAGCCAAAACGGTTAAGAAACAAGTGTGCAAATATGGTGCTATCAAATATACTATATGTGGCAGGAATCGTCCCACAGTCGCTGTAATATGCTCAACGTTGTCGGAATAAGCTCACTGCCGCCGGAATCCGATCGATCATTGTTGTCGGAATATGCTTATCGGCGTCGGAATCTAGTCATCGGGGCCGAAATATGCTTATCGATGCCAGAATTCGGTCATCGACACTCGTCGAAGTTTGGTCAACAGTATTTGCTGACCGGATATTATGTTTTGTATAGAGAGATTTGTGGTTTGGTTTCTCGTGTTTTTGTATGTCTTTTGTGGTTTGTTTTATTGTGTTCTGGTTTGCATTTAGAAGTTTCTGGTGTGTTTTCAAAAAAGTTGTGGTTTGCTTTGCGTGGTTTCTAGTTTGTTTTAATATATTTGTGGTCTGCATTAGTACATTTTTTGTTTGCTTTTTGTGGTTTGCTTTACCGTGTTTGTGGTTTGCATTAGAAGGTTTCTGGTGTGCTTTTCGAAATATTTGTGGTTTGATTTGTGGGGTTTCTGGTATGTTTTAGGAGACTTGTGATTTGCATTAAGAGATTTCTGGTATGATTTTTTGTGGGTCGTTTTACCGTGTTTGTAGTCTGGTTTGTGATGTTTCTCGTATATTTCAAAAGACTTGTAGACAATATTGATCTACATTTGATGCTTTTGAAATCCGAAATAGCATCACAACTCAATACAAATGCAATGAAACTCTTTATATAGTATCCATTTCTTTATATTAATATATTACAATTAAATCGAGATTTTCATTATTGAAATGGCAACCAAATCAAATGGCAGAAGGCCTATAGAAAGCATGAGTTTTAGCTCTCCTTTGAATCATTCAATACTTTCTCTCTTAGTGCCTGCATAATGGCTTCAGAAAACCTCCTTTGCACCCTCAATGGCAAAAAGAAAAAAACTGAAATTAAATGAGATCACTTCCTAATTGCATTGCCTTTTTCATATGTAAAACCCAATTTCAATTACACAGCTGCAAAATCTTCATCTGTGTACCCAAAAGCCATCTACAACATCTCTTACCAGCCTTCCATCAGTGGATTTACCAACAGTTTGCTTGGTATGAGCCATCTACAAATATCACCAAGTGAACATGCCAGAGTTGATTTAGTGCCTAATCAAGTTCAATTGAGAAATCCTAAACCACAATGATCGCTACATTCAACTGTTAAAGGAGGAAGTTTCGGTGGCTAATTTGTAATTAGCCACGTGTATTAGTATAGGGCTGGCCGACCCTATATACACTCTTGGACTAGTGACTGTCGAAGTACATTGATTTGCAGTGAATAAGAAAACCCTAATGCCTTGTGCCGTGGACTAGTTTCAACGTTCGTCGTTGAGGAAACCACATAAATCTTGTGTTATGTGTGGGATTGATTTTCCCTAACGCCTTGTGCCGTGGACTAGTCTCAACATTTGTCGTCAAGGAAACCATGTAAATCTTGTGTTATGTGTGGGATTGACTTTTGTTTTTATACATATTTTGACATGGTATCAGAGCCTCCCTAATTCTAGTGGCTTCGTAGCTTTCGTGGTTGGATCTCCGCTGCTTTCTTCTCGGTTTTGGTACTTGTAGCTGCTTCTTTGGGGTTTTATTTTGTGTGTGGATTTGTGCTCGAGTTGTTGGGCGCTTTGTGGGGTTTGCGGTCTTGTGCTGGTTGCCCCTTGTGTCTTTAGTTCGTGGGTGTTGCGAGTTCTTTATGTCTTTCTTTCATTATGGACGGCACCAAGATGGAAGCGGTCTGTACTAAATGCAACGTGAAGAAGTTTCCCTTGTGGGAGATGCATTTTAGCTTTTAGGGTTTTTATTCATGGGCGTCCGTTGTTTCCGATTACGGTCAAAGACAAGGTTGATTGGATGATCGACAATGCTCAAGTCATGTCCTGTATTCTTTCCTCGGTGGAGCCTAGTGTGGCTTTGAGTCTCCGTGCCTTTAATATGGCACATGAGATGTGGACGAATCTTCGTGATCTCCATGCGCAAGCGAATGCGTCGTGCAAATTTGAGATCAAATTTGATCTCACTTTGCTTCGCCAAGGTGATATGGATATACGCTCCTATTAGCAAAAGGCCTTGAATCTTTAGACGGAACACGATATGCTCACTGCCTCCTTGGTGTTTGCGGCGGTTTCTGTAGAAGTCTTGAAGGAGCGTGCTTTTTCTTGGATTATGCATTTTCTGATGAAGCTCAATCCGGCCTATGAAGGTATTCACTCATCCCTTCTCCATTGCAATATCATGAAACTCAAGGATGTAGTTGCTGAATTGATCCGCGAGGAGACACGCCTTCGTAGTCAGGCAAGCTAGATATTCATTCTTTGGTCTCCGGGTTGGTTTTCGATGTACAGGCTGGCCGTCCCCAGTTCGGTCGTATTCCATCAGTGAAATTATTTGTTTCTTTTGCAAAGAACATGGGCATATTCAGAAAATCTATCCCAAATGTGTCACCTATAATTACTACAAAGCTTCTGGTCATGTTATTGGGGATTGCCCAATTCTTGCTCAGCGTGGTCGTGCCAAGGGTTCTTCCTCGACTGGTGCCTGGTGGTGGGTCTTGGCCTCAGACTGGCGTCCCGCCATTGCTTATGTAACGACGCTGACTCCTGCGCCAGGTTCTACTGGTGGTTCCTATCTGAACTGGAAGTCGAAGAATGAGAATTCATCTCATTGATATTGCAGCTGGGCTGGAGTTACTCGATGGAGTTTGCAGAGCTTTTGAAGAACAGAGGCAGAAACGTTTCGTTTCTGCCTCCCCTTCCACTCAACTTGAACGAAGGACAAAACGTCGTCGTGGAGTCTGGAGTTGGGTGGAGTTTTAACGAGCCAACATGAAGAAGACACGTGGCTAGCTTTTACTGTTTTATTTTGTATTTCTGTTTAACTTCCATTTCCATTTTTACTGTTGCTTGTTGGTTACACCTGAAACCCATATATATATGAAAAGCTGGAGATCAGATCTCCTTGCGGGTTTTTCCCATTTGATACCGCCTTCTTCTTCTTCTTGCGAAACCCTAAAGCTCAAGGAGCTTTTCTATATGGTATCAGAGCTGGACTAAGGTCCAGATTACTTCAGCAATGTCAAACACACCTCCTGGTCCTGGGTCTCCCTTCCCTAGTGGCAACACCGGTATTCCTTTTGGATCTTTCTCTCAGACTGGAAACACGAGCAACAACAGCAACCCAGGACGCCCAGATCTACAATTTGGTAACCCATTTTACATTAACCCAAATGAGAACATTTCTCAATCGATTGTGTCTGAGAACTTAGATGGCCCAAATTATCAGATGTGGCAGCGTGCTATTCGCATGGCTTTGAAAACCAAGCATAAGCTTGGGTTTATAGATGGTTCTATTGTTATGCCCAGTGTGGATGATACTAATTATGCCTTGTGGGATGCTTGCAACACACTTGTGTTGTGCTGGATTTTGAATTCTATTGAGAAAGAGATTCGAAGAAGTGTTATGCAGCATGAGAATGCGAAGAATTTGTGGGATGAACTCAAGAGAAGGTTCGGACTTCCTAATGCTGTTAAGCTGGCACACCTACAAGACCAGATCATAGCCTGTAAACAGGGAAACCTCAATATCACTCAATACTACACTGCTTTCAAAGGGTTGTGGGAAGAAAATTTGCAGTTTAACCCTATTGTTGAGTGTGATTGTGTGGTGCCTAGAGTTCGACCTTGTCCTGCAGTTGAGTCTTTCAAGCAGAAACAAGAGGTAGAATATCTGATTCGATTCCTCAAGGGTCTCAGGCCAGAATATGAGGTTGTTCATACAAAACTCCTCATGATGAAACCTCTTCCAACTGTGGATGCTGCTGTCAATGATCTGCTTCAACACGAGCAGAAAATTAAGGGGGATAAGGGTACATCGAAGGGAGTTCAAGGAGTGGCTCTTGCAGTGACAGGCTCCCCTGGAAATCAGACTAAGGCCAGTGGAGGGTCTGATGGAAAGAAATTTTGTCGATACTGTAAGCAAGAGAACCATAACATTGAAGATTGCTACAGGTTGAAAAACAAGAAGGCCAGAATGGGTGGAGGAAATGTTGTTGCAGCAGTGTCACAAGGGGATTCTTCTACAGACAGTGATAGTTCTACCTCTGATTCTAAGTCTACTGTTGACACAAGGCTTTCACAAAGCAACTTTGGCTTATCATCAGAAGAGCTTAACAAACTGAAGTTCCTGCTGAATTCTGTTTCTTCCTCACCCAGCCCTTCACCACCCACATCTCCATCCATAAATCATCATGCATTCTCTGTTGCACAGCACATTCCTCACTTTCCTAACTGTGCTGGTAAGTATGTCCTTTCTTCTTACTTACAGCACCAATGTGAGTCTCTACTAGGGATATGGATACTTGATACTGGGGCATCAGACCACATTGCCTGCAGTTTATCCTTATTCATTGAATCTACACCTGTTGTGGATCAATTTGTCTTCTTACCTACTGGTACTAAAGTGACTGTTAGTCATATTGGGAGAGTGAAACTTCCTACTGGTCTCATCTTAGAGAATGTCCTCCTTGTGCCTAGTTTTTCTTTCAATCTTGTTTCAGTTAGTAAGCTCACAAATGACCTTCCAATCTCCTTACACTTTGAATCTGATTCTTGCCAAATTCAGGACCTCATGACCCACAGCAGGACTGGTTTGGCAAAACAGATTAAAGGGCTTTACCAACTTACTTTCAAGACCACCTCTTTCCCTCAAACACCTCAAGCAGCTGCTACCTACAATTTCTCTCCTCACAACATTGAGCTATGGCACTGGAGGCTAGGACATCTCAGTAGAGAGAAGGAAAAACTTTTAGTACCTTGTAATAGAACTTCAGTCTTCCACTGTCAAACTTGTCATTTTGCCAAACATAAAAGGCTTCCTTTCCCTGTTAGTACCAGTCTTGCTCAAGAAGTATTTGAACTTATTCATGTAGACATATGGGGTCCCCTTGCAGTTAGATCTCATGATGGCTATTCCTACTTTCTTACTATAGTAGATGATTACTCTAGAGGTGTATGGACCTATCTAATGAAGTACAAATCTGAGGCCAGTTCTTTACTGGAATCTTTTTGTGTGATGGTTTCAAAGCAGTTTGGCAAAAATGTCAAAATCATTCGCAGTGATCAGGGAAATGAATTCCATATGGTTGACTTTTACTCTGCACATGGCATTGTGCATCAGCTATCCTGTGTTGAAACTCCTGAGCAAAATGCCAGGGTTGAGAGGAAGCACCAGCACATCTTGAATGTGGCTAGATCTCTCAGGTTTCAATCAGGAGTGCCTCTGCAGTTTTGGAGTGATTGTATCCTCCATGCTGTCTACCTCATAAATCGAATCCCTTCTTCTGTTCTATCAAACAAATCTCCCTATGAGTGTCTATATAACAAACCTCCTAGCTTGACTGGTCTGAGAGTGTTTGGATGTCTTTGTTATGCAGCCACACTTCATAGAGATAGAACAAAATTTGACAGTCGAGCCAGGCAATGTATTTTCCTTGGTTTCCCTTCAGGGATAAAGGGCTACAAGCTCTATGATCTCAACTCTCATTCTTTCTTTGTGTCTCGTGATGTCACATTCTATGAAACCATTTTCCCCTTCTCTGTCTCAACCTCAAATTCTCACTCTCCACCACTTTCAGACCCTATTATTCCCATTTTTCCTCCTCTTCCTACTCCTACACCTTCTCCAGATACTGTACCTTCTCCTGCTCATCCTTCCTCCTCTACCTCTACTCCTCAGAATGCTTCCATGCCTTTTCACACACATTCTCCTTCAGATATTTCTCATTCATCTGATGGTTCATCTCCTACTGTGCCTGATTTGCATTCTGGGGGGGAGGATGCAGAGATAGAGGTCTTCCCTGATCCACATGACACTGAAGAAGCTGAATTTCTGAGAAAGTCTTCAAGAGTCAAAACTGTGCCTGTTTGGCACAAAGATTATCATTTCAACATTGCAGCTTCCTGCTCTAAGCATCATGTCTGGCAGCATTTTTCTTATGAGCAGCTTTCCCCCTCTCAAAGGGCTTTTGCCATGAGTGTCATGTTGAATGAGGAGCCTACATCATATGCAGAAGCCTGCAAAGATACTAGGTGGAATCAGGCTTGTAATGAGGAGTTAGCAGCACTTGAAGAAAATCAGACCTGGGAGGTTGTAAAACTACCAAAAGGAAAGAAGGCAGTGGGCTCTAAATGGGTATTTAAGATCAAACATAAGTCTGATGGGACTATTGAGAGATTCAAATCAAGAGTTGTAGCCAAAGGCTACACTCAAATATATGGAATTGACTTTTTGGACACTTACTCACCTGTGGCCAAGATCAATTCTGTCAAAACTCTTCTTTCAGTTGCTGCTTCCAAGGATTGGCACATACATCAGATGGATGTGTCCAATGCCTTTTTACATGGTGACCTGGAAGAAGAGGTCTACCTTGAAATTCCACCTGGTGCCAATGTACCTAGAGACCAGGGTTTGGTTTATAGACTTAAGAAGTCTTTATATGGTCTCAAACAGGCTAGTAGGCAATGGTTTGCCAAGTTAACCACTGCATTGATGAAAAATGGATATTCTCAAACTGCATCTGATTACTCCATGTTTGTCAGATGGATACAAGGAAGGGTGGTTGTTGTTTTGGTGTATGTTGATGACATTTTGATTGCTGGAAGCTATTTAGGAGATATTGAACAGTTGAAACTTTTCTTAAGCAAGGAGTTCAAGGTCAAGGATCTTGGACAAATGAGTTATTTTCTGGGGTTGGAAGTGTTAAGGGATCACAGAGGGATCTCTTTGAGTCAGAAGAAGTACTGTCTTGAGCTTGTAACAGATACAGGTTTCCTTGAAGCCAAGGGCTGTTTATCCCCAGTGGATTGCAATGTGAAACTTTCAGCTACTCAGGGAGAACCATTACCAGATGCCACTGTTTATAGAAGACTCATTGGCAGGTTACATTACCTTACCATTACCAGACCAGATATAACTTATGCCATCCAGCAACTTGCACAATTTCAGGCCACCCCTTGTGTAGAGCATCTACAAGCAGCACACAGAGTGATCAGGTATTTAAAGCAGACTCCTGGACAAGGTTTGATGTTCAGGGCTGATTCAAAATTGGAGCTGCAAGGTTATTGTGATGCAGATTGGGCAAGCTGCCCTGATTCAAGGAGGTCATTAACTGGGTATTGCACATTCCTGGGTACCTCACTGATCACATGGAAAACCAAGAAACAGACAACAGTGTCGAGGTCATCCTCTGAAGCAGAATACAGGGCTTTGGCACAGGTTGTTTGTGAAGTTCAGTGGCTTAGAAACCTATTGTTGGAAATGGGAGTCCAGGTACCTCTTCCAATTCCTCTCTTTTGTGACAACAAGTCTGCCTTACATATAGCAGAGAATCCTGTGTTTCACGAGAGGACCAAGCATATTGAAATTGATTGCCATGTTACAAGAGAGAGATTGAAGTCTGGACTCATTAAACTAAGCCATGTTAGAACAGATGATCAGATTGCTGATATCTTCACCAAAGGAGTTAGTCGATATCGTTTGAAGTTCCTGTTGGACAAGCTGGGAGTGTTTGATGCTTACTCGCCAGCTTGTGGGGGAGTATCTGAACTGGAAGTCGAAGAATGAGAATTCATCTCATTGATATTGCAGCTGGGCTGGAGTTACTCGATGGAGTTTGCAGAGCTTTTGAAGAACAGAGGCAGAAACGTTTCGTTTCTGCCTCCCCTTCCACTCAACTTGAACGAAGGACAAAACGTCGTCGTGGAGTCTAGAATTTACCGTTGGGTGGAGTTTTAACGAGCCAACATGAAGAAGACACGTGGCTAGCTTTTACTGTTTTATTTTGTATTTCTGTTTAACTTCCATTTCCATTTTTACTGTTGCTTGTTGGTTACACCTGAAACCCATATATATATGAAAAGCTGGAGATCAGATCTCCTTGCGGGTTTTTCCCATTTGATACCGCCTTCTTCTTCTTCTTGCGAAACCCTAAAGCTCAAGGAGCTTTTCTATAGTTCCTCTTCCTCTAGTTCGTCTGGCATCTCTCAAGAGGAAATTCGTCAAATGCTCCAAGCTGCGATTCAGGAATCTCTCCATTTTGCTCTCTCGGTGGCCTTTTTGACTGGTAAGCTTTCTTCCTCGTCGTCGTCTCTTTGGCACCTTGAATCCATCGCTGTCAATCACATGTTTAGTGATCGGGCATCATTTACTTCTATTCGGCCAAGTTTGGGTATTGGGTTGCATGTGCCAAATGACTCTAATATTTTTGATGAAGGGATTGGTACGGTTCGTAATGCTAAGTTGTCTCTCCCCCGCACCTTTTTTGTTCCCAAGCTTGTTTCAAATTTGATCTTGGTTGGCCAGTTGGCAGATGAGGGTTGTCGGATCACGTTTGATGCTCATGGTTGCGTTATGAAGGACATGAGGATGGGGAGGGAGATAGGCCGCGGGAGTAGACTGAATGGGTGTACTATCTTGACCGTTACTCACGCACATTCGTTGCTCGAGACATGGATCGAGGAGGTACGTTGGATGGGGTGCTGACTCTGGGTGCGGAGGTTGTTCTGGATCTTCGGCGAGAGTCATCGTGTATTGATAGTTCTGTTTGTCCCTTGTTGGTTTCGAATTTTGGATCTGGATACTCAGTTAAGTTATCGGATTGGGATTTAAGGCATTTTCGGTTAGGCCATCCTCATAAATAGACACTATTTGACATGCTTAAGAAAAATTTGCTCTATGGTTCTGTTTATTCTATTCCTGCTCATGATTGTATTCATTGTGTTGAGGCTAAAATATCTCAACGTTCTTTTACTGCGAGTTCCACGGTTTACTTGGTATCGTTTGATTTAGTTCACACTGATATGTGGGGTCCATCCCCTATTATGGCTCGATTGGGGTTCCACTACTTTTCCCTCTTTATCGATTATGTGGCGGCATTAGAGTTTATTCATATGGTTTCTATGCAGTTCGAGAAGGTCATTAAGATTTTTCACTCAGATCCGGGTGGGAATTCTTGTCTACTCCATTGCAGGAGCTATTCCGTGAAAAAGGCATTATTCCACAACAGTCTTGTCCCAGTGTTTCTCGGCAGAATGGGCTGGTCATAAGTAAGCACCGCCAAGTGCTTGAGCTTACTCGGGCTCTCTTGTTCCATTCACGGGTCACTTCTTGTTTTTGGTTCAAAACGGTTCATACGATTGTGTATTTGACTAATCGCCAGATTACCCTGTCCTTGACCAGTGCAGTCCGTACCAGAAGCTATACTCTCATCTTCCCAATTATGGGTGGCTGCGAGTGTTCGAGTGTTTTTGTTACGTGCTCCTTCCCTGATGTGAACGCAATAAGCTTGCTCCCAAGGAGGCTAAATGTGTTTTTATTAGCTAAAATGACAAACAGAAAGGTTATGTTTGCTATGACGTAGGTTCTCATCGTGTTCGCATCTCGTGCCATGTTGTGTTCCTGGAACATGCTTTCTATGATGGTGCAGCCAACCCTAGTGATGCCTCCGAGCTGGATTTCCTCACTTCTCCACCGTCGGCCGCATTGAGCTCTTCCTCCGGCCCTTTTTCCAACACTAGACTTGCCGCTGCCTCGAAGAGTTCTGACTCAAGCCATGAAGGGTCTCCCGCCTCCTCGATATTTGAATTTTGTTGCTTACTCTACTGCATCTTCTTGCTTCGTCCTAGCCACGTTTAAGTAGGCTCGTGGCCAACCCGAATGGGAGGATGCCATGAATACTGAGTCTCGGTCCCTGGAGGCTAATCACTCTTGGGACCTTGTCCCTCGCCGTCAAGAGATGCAGGTTATCGGCAGCAAATGGGTCTACAATATCAAGGAGCTTTCCGATGGATTTATTAAACGGTTTAACGCGAGGGTGGTATCGCAGGGACTTAAACAGAGGGACTAGATACTATAACAACACTCTTTTTGTTGTTATTGTAACAACACTAGTCTCCAACCAATAGGAAGCTAGGATTGTGGTGACTTTTTATTAGATGAGTTGACCTAGTGTAAAATCAAAGCAGGGGTATAATTGTCATTATGAAAAATATATTTAAATAATAATAAAAAAATAAAAAATAAATATAAAAAAATAAAAAATAAATATTTTTTATTTTCGGACCAAAATTTTGGTCGCCGGAATTCGGCCACCGGTCGTCGGTCACCGGAATATGCTTTTGTGTCGCCGGAATATGCTATTTTGTCATCGGAATATGCAACCGTCGCCGGAATATGCTCACCGTGGTCGGAATATGCTTACCGGCGTCGGAATCTAGTCATCGGGACCGGAATATGCCTATTGGCGCCGGAATCTACTCACTGACGGTCATCGGAGTTTGGTCAACGGGTTTCGTTGACCACTCAACGGTCTTCGTTGACCGGTCAACGGCCAACGACCACTGGATGTTATGGTCTGCATTGTGAGATTTATGGTTTGGTTTCTCACATTTTTGTATGCCTTTTGTGGTTTGCTTTATCATGTTTATGGTTTGCATGGAGAAGTTTTAGGTTTGCTTTATCGTGTTTGTGGTTTGCATTGAGAAGATTCTGGTTTGCTTTCAAAAATTTGTGGTTTGCATTGAGGGGTTTGTGGTTTGTTTTAGGAGATTTGTGGTCTGCATTAGGACGTTTCAGGTTTGTTTTTGTGGTTTGCTTCATCGTGTTTGTAGTTTGCATTAGGAGGTTTCTGGTGTGCTTTCGCAAATGTTGTGGTTTGCTTTGTGAGGTTTGTGGTTTGTTTTAGGAGATTTGTGGTGTGCATTCGGAGGTTTCTGGTTTGCATTAAGAAGTTTCTGGTGTGCTTTTGAAACTTTTATGGTTTGCTTTTTGCGAGGTTTCTGGTTTGTTTTAATATATTTGTGGTCTGCATTAGGGCGTTTTTGGTTTGCTTTACCGTGTTTGTGGTTTGTATTAGAGAGGTTTCTGGTTTGCATTAAGAAGTTTCTGGTGTGATTTCGAAACTTTTGTGGTTTGCTTTGCGAGGTTTCTGGTTTGTTTTAATATATTTGTGGTTTGTTTTGTGGTATTTCTGGAAATGAAGAAGACACATAGACATAGTTACGTTCTTTCCTTCCAAGAGATTATATATATGTGTAGGAAGACAAATACCCTACCAAAAGGGGAATGGTATGGGATATATATATATGCATGCACATGCAATACAAGTAGAACCAGCTAGCTGAGCCTGAGCCTGAAAACAAGCTCATGCATGGTGGAGACAAAGTCTCTTTGCTGGTTGACTGTCCTTCTATCACCTCCTCCATCCCCTACTTCCAGCCAAATCAAAATTGGTATTTGTCATTGCACCCTTCGTAGCTCCAATACTTCATATCTCTCTCTCTCTCTCTCTCTCCGAGACAGCGATGAGGGATGAAGAGGCAGATGGGGTTCTTTTCTTTCCACATAATTTCATAGGCGCATATGCGCACAAGGATTGAAGTCACCATCTGTCCCAATTTGCAAAAGTCAAAGCCCTCGGCCGATAAATGCCAGATCCTTCGTTTTGGTGTTTCCTTCGTTTTGTTGATAGGGGGAAAGTGGCGCCAATGTGCTAGTGGGTTTCCAAGGTTTACACTGCCGTCGGAGAGAGGATGTCGTCGGAGTAGAGAAACAACAGTTGATTTTGATTCGGAATAGGATTTACAGTCGGAGACAGTGAACAGATTTGAGAAACTAAACGCGATTACGGATCGAGATGAGGCATCTATGTAACAGAAGGAGAGCGAGGAGTAAGGTCGACGGCGGCGGCAACGATGAGCAGCATCGTCGATCGGAGGTCGGAAGGAGATAACAATGGAGGAGAGAAAAAAAAAAACGAACTAGATCTGAATGGGAGAGAGAGAATGAGACGGATGAGAGAGAATGAAAAGTGATAAATGAGAAGTTTGACCGGAATTTAAATTATTGTCCATAATTATCTTTCTGTTAATTTAATATTTTATTATCTAATAATTAATGGTATTTTACCTTTGTACCCTTAATGAAGTCTGTTGTTAGTATAACAACACTAAGGGTGTTGTTATTCTATCCGAACCCCTTAAACAGAAGTATGGTGTGGATTATGAAGATACATTTGCTCCTATTACGAAGATGCAGAAGGTTCGCAGTCTTCTTGTTGTTGCTGCCATGAAGGGCTGGCCTCTGTTGCAGCTTGATGTTAATAATGCTTTTCTACATAGAGACTTGAAGGAGACAATTTATATGGAGCGACCTCCGGGGTACTCGAAGGGTGAAAATTCTGTGGAGTGTTTACTATGCCGCTCTGACTCAACCCGAATATCAAAATAAAATCCCACCTAAGGCCCAGTATAAACCTTAAATGAGTGCAATATATGACAAGTATGTTTAAATATCAACACGGGCCAGTCCATGTACCCCTACTTCAATTGTTTGAAAGATTATCTAGCGGATTGTTGTTTGTTAAAATCTCTACGACCTACTATTGAAAAACAAGACTTGAAAAGTAAAAAGGGTGGAAAACTCTTGGTGAGAAGCTTCACTCGAGTGTTGCTTCCCCCTAACCATCTACCAGGAATCGTGGGATCGAATGAAATGGTGTGTGACGTGAAAATTGTGACACGTTGGAGGTGCAACAATGGTTAGAAACCTTTTTCCCAATTGCTAGGCCAAGGTAGGGGTAAAGGCTATAATTGTAACCCTCTTGGCCCAAGCAATTGAGGGTTGACTTACCTTCTCCCTCAAACCAAGGTTTAGACGATATAATAACAATTAATCCAGGTGTTTAATTCAAACGAGGTTTACCCTTAATTAACCTAGTTATGAGGCATGGAATGCCCAAGAAAACCCATCTCTAATAGAGCCTCTTAAGCTAAAGGGGCTTCTCTCTAAACTATCTTAGGGGGGATTGAATGCCAAGAAAACCCAGCTCGAATTGAGCCTCTTTAGATAAAGGGGGCTTCACTCTAAACTAGCTTAGGAAGCATGAAATCCCCAAAAACATCCAGCTCTAATTGAGCCTCTTACCATAAGGAGGTTTCCA